CAATCCATCAGAAATTATTCTTCTCGATAAATTTATAAATTTACAAATATACAATCCATCAAAATAAATTAATCGATTCTAAATATGGACAAAATTAATCACGATAATATTTTTATTAGGGAAGAATTTTCTCTGATTCGTAGCTCTTTAAATAACAAAACAATCTTTTCTTATTATATCAATTTCTAAAACTTTATAGAGATACAGGCAACAAAATGTGATTCACAATGGATCACAATTTGTTCTACTCAATTATAGTGACGAACGTATTAAATAAATGTTCCAGATCTCAAATTGGTTAGCTCCATTTTTGTTCTATTCAGTTGCACATTATATGTTATTGGTATTCAAGATCGTGCGAATAATAATAAATTCGAAATAAGTGGGAGAAAAGAACGATGCTCATATTGTTTCGTTATGTTTCCCCAATTTATGGAGTTAATCAATATGATTTCCAAGTGGTTCAAATAAGCACATTTAAATTCTTATTCTTTTATAGTCGTTAATGATTACAATCGTGCAAACGGAGCTTTATTTTGACAGTAGCAACGCCGAAAAGAATCTCGATATTCTGGTATTAACTGTCTGCGGCAGTTTAGCCATTATGAAGGTGTCGATCTATCGTATTTGGCCTACAGGTCTTATTTATAATTTTACCTCGGCCATCAGGGACTACAATGAACTGAGGGACGAAAAGAAACAAGCAATAGTTCGAAAACACGCTTACATGAGCCGAATGACGTGTATCGGCATGATGTCTATCACGTATGCAAGTGCAACACTTATCATGATTGTGCGTGTACTGGTTGAAGAAAAGCTAGGAAATATAGTTAACGTAACGGACGAAAATACACTGAAGTATCCTATGCCTTGTAAATACGTAATAGCGTTTATAAAAATACCGGATAACTTACACTTTATAGTTTTTATCACAGAGTTTTCTATGATGCTAGTCACGTGCATTAGTAATATAGGTAATAAATAGTGAAATAAATCAGTCAGACGCTTGCTGTGCAACTCCATAAATTTCAATGCGGATCAAAAAACAACAATAATTACAAACATTATCGTGATATTAGCAGTTATTCATTCACTTTGGAGATTTATTAATTCTTCGCTGAAATGCAATGTGTGTGGGCTAATTCTAAAGTACGAAGTCGATACATTCTTGTCCCTGAGTTTGCTATCTTTTTGTACTCAGAATTTTACAAACTCGAGGAATCCTAAGGAGAATAAAGCTTCCACTTTTCAATGTCGTAAAAAATGACCTTACTATATTTAACGTGTAGTTTAGCATGAGTTTGGTGTGTGATTAACGTGCAATTTTGCATTTAGCGCGTGTCCAATAAATACACGAATATTATTACGAAAATGAAAATTTTATAGAAAATGGAGTTGACCAGCATTAGTCTTAAGAAGATTAAATATTGATATTTATCGAGGGTGGTTTCTAAATCTTTCTTGTTTGTTTCAAAATATCAAGGCAGCGATGTGTTATTCTTCGGTATCAGTTTCCATCTATGCGGTCAAGTAGAGATCCTGAAGCTAGAATTTAGTAAATTGAATAAGAACGAAAAAATAGTGGGACACTTCGTTACATTAGTCAAAAGACACATTGACTTACTAAATCTAGCCAAGATGCTGAACGAAACGATTAGCTCTATCTTGGTCGTGCAGCTATTCTTCAGCTCTATACTTATTTGTGGAAGTGGTGAATATTCGTATATTTCATCTCACTAATAAAGTCGACACATAATGTTAGCATAAAATTATCGGTACGTGGAAATGATTTACATTCTGTTTTTAGGATTTCAATTCATTCTCGCTTTAAACATTGGAAACATCATCATGATCATAAAAACATTTATGTTAATGAACACTTTGTTGATACAATTGTTCATATACAGTTACGTGGGTGAATATTTAAAGCGTCGAATGGAAGGCATCGGTAACTCGTTGTACTTCTGCAAGTGGTACGATATACCGAAAAACGTGCTGAAAGACATAATTTACGTGATCATGAAGGCTCAAGATCCGGTTTTGTTAAGGGCTGGAAAATTCTTCGTCGTCAATCTCGAAACGTACATGTCTGTCGTAAAAACTTCGATATCGTATCTGTCAATTCTTCGAGTAATGGTAAATACGTAAAATTCTGTGCAACAGGAAATTTTGTACATAAGAAGCTATATTAATTTAATAAAGTAAAGCAAAATAAT